AGACCTTGTTGTGGGACTGCTACATCTCGATCTCTGCTTTAGCTCAACTCTTAATCTATTACAGAGTTTTATTTATTTATCCTCAGTTTGTACAAAGTACATTACATATGGTGATGTAATGACACATGTCAATCATGCGTATAATTATTTACAGATGTGTTTCTATTATACAACATGGCAATCTTGTTATAAGTAGTCTATATTAATAAAATGCAAATTTCATAAGTGGTGTTCGCTAAAAACTTTCGTTACAATGCATCAATTTCGACCAAATTTTCAACATTTATGTAAAACGAGATGGAGCAGGTTTTGCTTAACATCAAAATATTTTTCCTAACTTTAACATGCGTAACTTCGCTGTTATCGATTAAATACAAAAAAAATCAACAGAGTTAATTTTATTTATATATAAATACAAAAAAAATTCAGCAATTCATTCAACTCAATCTAAAAAATTATTCAAAACAAGCAATTTTAAGATAACACCATATGTAAAACAGTCGGCCAAGAAAACAACAACGATATTACATCTTTCTCACATATTCACACACAATCTTGATTAATAATTAAAACTAATCTTTAACATTGTTTATTATACTTCATAATATATAATATTCGTTAGGCAAACTTTCACTCGGATAAAACCCGGGCGAAGCCGGGTACACATCCGCTAGTATACAATATAGGGTTGTTGGTTTAAATTACCATAGATGGGCCCCGGGAGTGAAAGGGTTTATCCGGGTTTAAACGGGTAAAGCCTCTCTAACACAGGTAAGTAATTAAAATTTATTTTAATTAATTTAAACTGTGAGGGTTAAAAAGGGCTATAACAAGATGATTTGTTTGGATATATATGAAAATAATGAAAATAAAACTTGTTCAATTAAAAATTTATAATATTAGTTATATAGAAATATATATTTTTAGATAAAACCGTTGTTTAATTCAAATGCATAATGATATGAGAGAGAGAGAGAGAGAGAGAGAGATTATGTGAAAGAGAATCAAAAATTCTAAGATATTAATGGCGGGCGTTAGAAAGGGTTAGGGATTAAAGAATATGCAATTGTAAGTATTACACATACAACCAAATAATCAGATCCAGGTGCAAAGCGAGGATATAGACTTGAGCGTCCTTCCTAGGCATTGTTTCACTTGCGATCCTGTAAAAGGGTTATAGTGCTTTGTCACAATTTTAGGGTTATTGGGTTAAAAAGTTGTTGAAGAAAAGTTGTTCATTAATATGATTGTGAAAGGGGTGTTATCAGCCATGCGATAAGTAGAATTGTTGTAGCGACAGTAGGTGATCTAACTTGACTTAAATCGAAGGTTGATTGTGGTCCGCTAGAGCTAGGAAAAGGTTGAAAGTTGAAAAAAGTGAACGCTTTGTGCATGCGTTGGTGATTGTGCTCTGCGGATGATTGAAATAAACTCTTGAAGCGTGTTCAGGCCAGAAGTTTGGATTTTTAAATCTGGGGAACTATGTTCAAAAGTTTGTTAAAATAACGAAATAAAAAAAAATTGTCAAGCAGTACTGTCGTTTTTCTACGTTGATGTGAACCGATGGCTGAAAAAGATAGCGATGAAAGGTATAGGGAAGTGGTCAGAGAGTATGATTGTTGTAGATGCCCGATAGTTGATGATAAACATTGTTATATAATAAAGGTATTTAAACAAATGTAAAATATAGTGAATAAAAAGAAAGAAATATGATTGCGGGTAAAAAAAGTGTAAGTGGACAAAATCAAACATGTAATATATAAAAGTTATAATAAGGAAGAATTAAAATGATTTTTGAAAGCAAATAAATGATTTGTAATACTAAAATAATATTATGAAAAAATTAAGTGAAATTGATTAAAGTTTTTTTTTTTTTTTGAAAATAATTTTAGATTAAAAATTGATTATATAATTGAAGGCAAAAATAATATTCAAAGATTTATACAAAAAAAGAATATTATTAATGATTATTATAATGACCAGATGAAGGTTTGGTAGTGAAATTAGACAAAAAGTATTTCACTTGAAGAGAAGTTACAAATGTGGTGTGTAGGTTGTATAAATCGAAAATTGAGAAGCGCAAATTATTTGTTGGATTGGTTACTAATATGTTATGTATTGTGATCTCCATTAACATGTAAAATGTTTGCTAGGTATGGTGTGGTTAAGGAGCTTGTGAGATTCTCGAGAAAATCTGAAAGATTGGTGTGAAATACGTTTTAAAAAATGGCGATCATGAAGATAGTGGTCAAAATGATAGCTTTGTGAGAGGATGGAGGACGTTGGTCGGGGGATATGTAACTTAAATAGATTCGGGGTTCTATTTCTGGGATGGTTACTTGTTCGGGGTGTTTGTTAAATTTGTCATTTAATTGGAACTGATTTTTTCTCTCTTCTTTTGTTGAGGTTGGCAATTTTCTGTTATAATTGAAAGATATAGTTTTCTCGGTTGTTCATGAGTGGGTGTGTTTCGAAATTAGTTTAGACTTAGTAAAAATGTTCTTCACGGTGATTAGGTTAGATGTGTGAAAGGTGTGACTTTCGACGTGGACACGCTTTAGGGTGAGATGTGTCACAGGCATGAGGGCGTCTTTGGCCTGTTAAGCGAGAAAAGGTTTTGTGGTGTGGCCGTGTGACACTTGTGAAGTGTATTGAATTGAAAGGTGTCATGTGAAGTCATTGTTTGGTACAAAATATAACCTGTTTCACCCTGAATAACAAATTTAATAGAGTCATGGGAGGTGGTTGTACGAACATGTATCGATAAATTTTATACTGTTAGTGGATGGCACATTTAAAGCAAAAAATTGTTGTGCGTTTAGTGTGGCGACGATATGGAGCTTGTGTGGCTCGAAATTGGATGTGTTGTTAAGTCGCGCGTTAAAAAATGTTGCCAATTGGAAAAAGTGATGTGTGAGGGTGTTTTAGTATTTGTTGAGCGAGATGTGTTGATGCTTAATTATGCATGTGAAAGTAAAAGACGAGGGAGTGTATCTTTGTTGGATTTTAACGATAGTAATAAGTTTGGCGGGCTGTGACCTAATTTAGCTACTGACGGGGAAATTGGACGGGATATTTATTTTTAAATCGTTTTGGGGGAGGACAGTTGTTATGATTTCGAGATATTGCTTCTCAGGAGAGAAATCACAGGAGATTTCTGAAATTAATAAATACTGTATGTACTTGTATGTTTCACCTATGTTGATTTAAATGTAAAAATTGTTTTTTTATCTTGTCATTGATTATGGTAGCGTGAAAATGATCCTTGTAAAAGGGCAATGTCGTGATAGTGACAAATAATTTAAATTGGGGCGCTTACTTAAAATGGTGAATTTGACAATGATTCTTGCAAAATTTTAAGACTTTGATTAAGATATTGGTATTGTGGTATGAAAATAAGATATTAAGAAGAACAAACAAATAAGTTTAGAATTATGATATGATGAGAATTTTTTTTAATAATAATAAAATGATTTTTTTTTTAAGTTGGAGATTTCGATAGTACCATTTTAGGTAAATTTTGGAAAGACATGTAAAATTAGTAAATTGATAAAAATGTCTGATTGGCAAATTTTTTAAAAGTAAAATTGAAAGTAATGAATTGAAATTTATAATATGATTAAAAATAAAGTATAAATTGATAAATGAGGGTGTAAAATATTTAAAATTTGAATTAAAATGATATAAAAATGGTAAAAATAGATATAAAAATATTAAAGTGGAAATAAACACAAAATTTATGGGGAATTAAGTTGGGGCTTGAGGAGAAAGTTATGTAGGTTTCAAAAAACCTACAGTTTATGATTGTTCAGTCAAGAAAATTGGTCTTTAGTTGTTGTCCTTCTGACGTGGAAAGCGCTCCATGTAGGGCTTGTAGAAGCTTGTAACTTCTGTAAAGTTGATTGCGACTTGTCTCCTTGAGCATTGTCGATGTCAAGCCGAAGGTGTGGAACTTGTCACCGGGTTTGCGCTACTCTGCTCCTCGGTTTCCAAGTCTTGCGTGATTTTCGGCTGTGTCGCCGGGGTGTTTAACTTGCTCTTGACGTTGGCGATCTGTGTTAGCGGGTCTGCGGAGGTCCCTTGCGGCGTCATGTCCTCCTCCTCAAATATTGTCTCTTGTTGGGGGAGAGATTGCTCGGTCGTTTCGTTGGCATGACGGGCTTGTTCCTCTATCTTTGCTCTTTCTCGCTTCTATCTAGACAGGCTTCTTACCTTCTTCGTTGCGGTCATCTTTCGTTTTGGTCATCCTGTCGACTAAAAACTGTGGTGAGGTATCCAGTCGACTTATCTATGGTGTGAGTCCCTGTCAACTCCCGCTATACTGTGTTAACCGAGAGGAACAGTCAGGATGTGAAGAGTTTTCCAGTATCTCTCAGCACCTTGGAAGACCTTTAACAGTTCTCACAGAGTACAGGCAGTCGTGGTCGAGGCAGAGTGGAAAGCTTGGGAATGTCCACACAAAAAACGAAGAGACACAGTTGTAGTAGGAAAGTTCCGTGAACAGATAGGAGTCGAGCTAAGAGCAAGATGGGGATAGAAGAGTTCTTACTGTTCTACATGGTCGATGAGGTGGACCTGAATACAACCGACGAGGGCTCACGATGATGGTGAAGTGACTATATTTAGAGCTAGGGCGGAGGTATTATATATCTTTGCCGAGAGAGGAAGTATTGAATTTCAGCGGATGCAACAAGAGCGTGGATCGGAAGCGATATTTTACACTCTGGCAACACCCTGTGATCTTGCTATCTTTAGACCTTGTTGTGGGACTGCTGCATCTCGATCTCTGCTTCAGCTCAACTCTTAATCTATTGCAGAGTTTTATTTATTTATTCTCAGTTTGTACAAAGTACATTACATATGGTGATGTAATGACACATGTCAATCATGCGTATAAATATTTACAGATGTGTTTCTATTATACAACATGACAATCTTTTTATAAGTATTATACACATTATAAGGTTGTTGGTTTAAATTACCATATAAATTTTAAAAAATATTTGAGATGCTGGGTATCGATCCCAGGACCTCTCGCATGCTAAGCGGGCGCTCTACCATCTGAGCTACATCCTTTCTAACATATCTCTAACAGATGTAAATTAAGGAATCTTTTGTCTTAATATGCTATGGCTGACATTAATACAATTAGAAAAAATAATAAAATAAAGTAATAGCGCGCCATCTTTATACGGCAATTAAAACACTCGCGTCTTAATGTTTTTTCTCTCTCCCTTTCTGTCTCATACACATTTGCAGAAATAATAAGAAATAAATAATAGAAATACAACACCCCAAATTCAGATAAAATGGAGGAGTTGGGAATAAACCAATATTTATTTATTTTACATATTGGACATGATATCCCAGCTTGGGATACTTGCGCCTAAATACATTTTAGCTGCTCAATTTAATAAACAAAAGACTGAAAATAAAATTAAAACTAAAAAGTTGGTTTTCTCAAAAAGAAAATGAAATTCTAAAATTAATCAACAAAAAATATTGATTTTTACATATTCGCCCATTTTTTAGAAGGGATAAAAATGTTTACTTTTGTAGCATTCTATGAATAAATGCATTCAGTTTTGGTTTAATTTCCCACTGAATCATCTAGGATCATCCTTTGCCCGATTTAGGTCAGAAATTCTCCAAAATTTCCATGATTTGTAATGAATTGTGTCTTAAAAATTGGGACGAAAATATTAATGAATTCCAAATGGGAAAAATATCTTAAAGATTTCATTAGTGCTAGCTATTGTTTCAGCCATTCTTGATTCTATGAAGCAGTGAATTATAGTTGAGGCACATGCGGTTTAAATAAATTAATGCATTTTTGATTAATTAGCCAAATCATGTTTGATTATCAAAGATTCTATGTGATCGGACAGAATAGGTATTTTTCCCAAACTATGAATGCAAATTGATGAGGTTTTTTTATAAGCTCTCACCACACAATTAAGATTATGACATTGCTGAGGGCTTAATATTTGCTTACTTATTTTATTAAAAAATATATACCATATTTCAGCCCCAATCAGTATTGTATATTATCAGGATTTTTCGAGTATAAAAACCATTATTTTCTAATCTTTATATTAAAATTTCGTCAAGGGGAATCCCAGATCATAATTATACTATGAAAAATAAATAACCTTTTCGAAAATTTGAAAAAATAAACCAAGACAAAAGTAGGTTTTAGAGGTCTCTCCTCGTCTTCAATCGTGCAAGGACAAATGCGCAAATGAGAAAAAAAATCATAAAACAACTATAATTTATCATAATATAGAGTAAAAGTAATAAAATTAAAAGGTATAAAAAATTGAATATTCGTAATTCAACTGAAACCTCACCTAGTTCTCATTAAAATTGATTATATAATTAATGAGCAACATAAAACTTAACTCTATTTTTTTTTTTGTTATCATTACCTGAGTTTGATATTTCTCACTAGAGAGGAAGAAATCATCTGAAAGAAATACCATCTTGTCTTGAATCGTGTTTGCAGTAATGACAGACTCGTTTTGCATAGCATTAATATATATAGTCACGACCGTCTGTCGTGGCCTCTGTCACGGATAATATACAGTTATCATCGTCATGCGTTCTTAATTCTGTCACCGTTTGCTTTTGGTTCAGTGGTAGAATGCTCGCCTGCCACGCGGGCGCCCCGTGTTCGATTCCCGGCCGATGCATTTTTTTTTTTTACAATTTTTAAAACTCATTTATCTATATATATAAAAATGAATGTATGTGTGTCTGTTTGTTTGTTTGTTTGTTTGTTTGTCCTTTATGCCTGACCAAACCACTCATTGGATCGCCATGAAACTTTGGGAAGTTATTTAGTATAGTACTGGGAAGGTTTCTAGCAAATAAAATTTTTGAAATAACTTTTCGCCTAGAAATAATCAAGATAAATATTATAATTTATCTGTTATAATTCAACAATCTGCTCTAAATATTATCATGATGATACGATGATTTTGTAATGTAGAAAATTAGGAAAGACAAAATTCAGGATGACACGGCAATTTATTTGAGACAAGAATAATGATACAATTCAAAGGCAAGATACTATTCCTTTAACTTCCAATTACCGAGGGAACCAATTAATATTGATTTTATTCAACTTATCGAGTATTTTTCAAGGGACCGGGAAAAAAATGTTCACTTTATCGAGAGATTCGTTAGACAAACTTTTACTCGGGTAAAACCCGGGCGAAGCCGGGCGGGTCCGCTAGTATATTATACAAGAATGACATCCACGGCGCCAATTTATAATTGTAACGAATAGTATTTGAATAAAAGCATTTAATCGAGTAAATCCCGGGCGTTGTAGATTATAAACACAAGGTAATAAGACCACATCCATGATAAGGTACAGTTTGGATTATAGATTATAAACACAAGGTAATAAGACCACATCCATGATAAGGTACAATTTGGATTATAGATTATAAACACAAGGTAATAAGACAACATCCATGATAAGGTACAGTTTGGATTATAGATTATAAACACAAGGTAATAAGACCACATCCATGATAAGGCATAATTTGAATTATAGATTATAAACACAAGGTAACAAGACCACATCCATGATAAGGTACAGTTTGGATTATAGATTATAAACACAAGGTAATAAGACCACATCCATGATAAGGTACAATTTGGATTATAGATTATAAACACAAGGTAACAAGACCACATCCATGATAAGGTACAGTTTGGATTATTACTATATATAGTCACGACCGTCTTTCCTCATCGGCCGCCTTTGTCACGGATAATATACAGTTATCATCGTCATGCGTTCTTAATTCTGTCACCGTTTGCTTTTGGCTCAGTGGTAGAATGCTCGCCTGCCACGCGGGCGCCCCGGGTTCGATTCCCGGCCGATGCATTTTTTTTTTTTTCCAATTTTTAAAACTCATCTATATATTATACAAAAATGACATCCACGGCGCCAATTTATAATTGTAACGAATAGTATTTGAATAAAAGCATTTAATCGGGTAAACCCCGGGCGCTGCCCAGGTCATTCGGCTAGTTTGCAATAGTGTCAGACTTGTCTTGAATAGCATCCGCATTAGCGAAAGAGTAACCTTGAATATAATTCGCAGTTGTGACAGACTCGAGTTGCATTCACAATAACGACAGACTTGAATCGCATTCGCAGTAGCGACAGACTTAAATCGCATTCGCGGTAGCGATAAACTTGAGTACTATTCGCAGTAACAACCGCTTTGAGTTGCATTCGCAGTAATGTCATGGTTGAGTAGCAATCGCATTAGCGACCGACTTGTATTAACATTTGCAGTACGACATACTTGAATAGCATTTGCATTAGTCACGGATTTGAATAGAATTCACAGTAGCGATAGACATGTATTGAATCACATTCGAGAATTAGATGGATTATTTACATAAGTAAATTATACTTAAATCAAAATGTTCGTGAAGTTATTTATTTTTTCACAATAATCTTTGTCAAAAATTGCTTCCAAGAAACTTTAACTTGAATTCATAATAGTGTTTTCATCATCATTTTTAAATAAATATATGACAAATAAAGTCATTCTTGGCAGTCATCTGGATTGACATCTAATTTACCAAATGAATATAAATCCCCAATATACAATTATTTTTTTTTAAATAAATGATAAAATACCCCATTGTTAGCAAAAAAAAAAAGTGTTTTGCAAATTTTGTAAAATTGTCAAAAAACGAAAAGGCAATATAAAATATAAATATAGAGATACATTCCATGACATCAAGACATTCAAGACATCATCTAAGAGAGTAATAATTTTGTAAAATTAAAATGCTGAAAATTATTTTTTTAAGATGACAGATACATTAAAACTATCTTAACTGGGACTCGTTTGAAATAGGTAATTTTGTGTCCTCCTAAAACCTCGTGGTCTCGTTTTTATCATATTTTCATGACCTTCTGTTAAGCAAAAACTACATACAAAATAGATATTCATTGGTAAAATTGTTTAAGTAAAAAAAAAAATATTTCTGCCAGGGCTCGAACCTGGGACCTTCCGCGTGTTAGGCGGATGTGATAACCACTACACCACAGAAACATATTTTGTACCCTTAATAGCCACTTCAGAACTAAAAATATCAAAATTAATAGCAGAATTTTCATTCATTGAATCTATATTAATAAAATGCAAATTTCATAAGAGTACATCACTACAAACTTTCGTTACAATGCATCAATTTCGACCAAATTTTCAACATTTATGTAAAACGAGATGGAGAAGGTTTTGCTTAACATCAAAATATTTTTCATAACTTTAAAATACATAACTTTGCTGTTGTCGATAAAATACAATAAAAATTCAACAGAGTAAAAGTATTTACTTTCGACAGCGGATACAACACTTTCAAAAGTGTTTACTTTCCGCTTCTTGCTAAATTAGTTCTATCTTTTATATATATATATATTTTAATTTTAATAATAACTTTTATACTTGGTAAGATACTTTTATTTTATAGTTTTCATATTTTATACCGAAAAAAGTTGAGGCCTTACTTAATGAGATCAAGTTTCTTTTTTATTTTATTACGTGTTAATATTTTTATAAGACTAAGGTATTTTATATTATTTTTTTACGAATTTAGGGTTATTTCTATTTTTTTCACTAAAAAGCTAGACATTTCATTCATGTTCTCGATTTTATGTCTTTTTTGAGGACCTCTTTTTTTCACTAAGAAGCTAGAAATTTCATGCATGTGCTCAATTTTATGTCTTTTTTGAGGACCTTAACAAACTTTTTAATTAATTGTTTTGATATTTTAGTTACAGATTATGGTGTTTTCCACTTATATGGTTTTTTTTTGTGCAAAAAATTTGGGTTATTTTTCTTTTTTTTTTCACTAAAAAGCTTGAAATTTCATTTTAATTAATTGCTTAGATATTTTAGAAGTAGATTATGGTGTTTTCAGCATATATGGGTTGTTTTGTAAACAACTTTTGGATTATTTCTATTTTTTTTTTCACTAAGATGCAAGATATTTTATTGGTATGTTCAAATATGGGTCATTTTGAAGTCCTTTTTTAAATT